GAGAGAAGTTTTATAAATATTTTGAAGTTTTGATACATTCATAATACCTTAATGGTGTGACTCGAGGATGAATGGGAACAAAGGAAAAAAGCGATTTCGCCGAGATCCCTCGACTAGTATCAATTGGGACCTTGGTCGAGAATGAAATCACTCCGAACGAGGCCGGGGCTCGAAGTGTCCCGAAGTGGTCGAAGAGGAGCAGGAAGGGAGAAGAGAGCAACGCACTCTCGGGTCTCTCTCGTGGGAGTCTATTTAGCTCCCTTGGCCACTTGCTCCTCGGTGTCGGACTCGCGGACACGTGTCGATCGATTTCGCCGTACGCGCTCTCCATTCCGTGGGTGCCATTCAAAAAATTCCATCGTTTATTTTCCACACCTCTACACCTTTCCCACGATTTTATGATCATTTTAGTTTGTTTAATTTTTTTTTTTTATACGGAAACTCCTTGTCATAGTATGGTAATTTTAATCGACCTCCAAGGCCACGGATTCACGCGACACCAGTGATAAGCGAGGGTTGTAAACAGTATCGGAGTAGGTCTCATATTTGATGATAAATTGAAATTAACTATTAGTAACAACTCGGCTATATCGATGCCAAAATCGAGAGCGACGATCGTTACGTAGATTACGGTGAAAAATATTTAGATCGTATCTAAGTTATCACGAGTCTAGAATTTCCCGTTCCGATCCCGAAGAAATAGACGTGTTCCAGTAAAGCAGTATTTTTCGACAGGAAGTTATGCCTCATTAGTGGAATAATGAACTTTTTATATTCCGTGGGTAGGAAGTTTCACTCGAATGGTGCACGTTCTTTTTCTATCTGTCATCTCCTGCACGCAAGTGGATGCGCACGAGGAGGGAAAGGAGAGTCCGCATGGAAGTGGAGCGCGATGCACTTCTCTGATAGCGCGAGTCGATCTTTCGCTAATGAATTATGCTTCGTCGATGGAATGGCGAGCTTTCTATACTTCGTGGGTAGTAAGTTTCACACGAATAGTGCGCGTTCTTTTTCCTATTCCTTTTTCCACTCGGCGCAAGTGGAGGCGCACGCGCGCACATAGGGGAAAATCAGTCCGCATGGAAGTGCACCGCGTCGTCGTCGATCTCTCGCTAATGAACTATGTTCCGTCGATGGAATAGCGAGCTTCCTATATCCCGTGGGGGTAGGAGGTTACCCTCGAACAGGGCACTTCCATTTTCTACTTATTTTTGTCCTCGACGCGAGTGGACGCGCGCACGCGCACGAGCAGGGAAACGAGTCCGCGTGGAAGTGGAGCGCGGTGCGCTCCTTTGATAGCGCAACTCGCGTGACCCATTGACTCGTCGAGGCCTTTTTATCCGGGCAAAGCCTCCAGCCGTTTCCCGTTCGATCGGCGCCAACAAAGGGCGCTTTGTTGGGCGTACGATTTAACGAGCTTGTCCATCGCGTTATCGAATGGCCCATATACGCCGCGGTGCGCTCCCGATAAGGGAGACCGCGCGTTATCGCGCCTGCGATTCGCGGCCGGCCGTCCGGTTGCACCTGCGAGCCGAAGTCGCGTACGGCAACGAACTTTCCTGGGATCGTGATCCTGTTTGGACTCAAGGACGCTTGTGTCTCGGCTTTGCCATTCGCCGCACGCCTCGCCGTATAATCGCGCGCTCTATTCCTGGCCCGATCGGCCAGCGCCGAAGATTCCTTATTATCGAGTCTTCGATCCCTCGCGGCAGCTCGAGCTCCGGTCGAACGGCTCCGGCCGACATTTCATCCCTGCCGATTTATCGCCGTCGACTCGTCGTCAAGTACTTTACGAAGAGTACACGGAAAATTGAAATTTGCACCTCCATCAAAGGGCAACATTGCTGATAAATTCTTCCTCGTTCCTGCAGGAATAATTGTCCCAAGGGCAAAAATATTTGCCAATCGTATCGAGAGCAGATCTAGCCATTGTCGAGCTTTCTTAAAAAAGGGAAAAATGCTTCCTAAATTAGCAAATGAATGCGCAGCAACGGCCAAAAAAATATCCCGTCCCTGCTCACGCAAATGAGCGACGGAGGATCTGATGGTCCTAGAAAAGAATATCGCAACCATGAATATAACTTGTGTTGCCTCGGTGAAGTATTAGTTCCTTCGTTCTCGATATAACAGAAACGTTTCTGAATTGAAAGAAAAAAAAAATTCAAGTGTTCACGTTTGTCGAAGCAAGTCAAATGTCTTGTTATGACTGTGAATTCGTTTTCTTCGAGCTCGACACTCGGCGCCGGGGATTGCGACTTGACTTATGGAGGGCATTGTAGCTTTACGTCGGCAGAGGGAGGAGTACCTCCTCTTTCCTGTTTTTTTTATTCACGACCCGCGACGCGAGTCGTTCAGTGCGAAGGGATTGGGGGGAGCAAGTGGGACAGGAGATAACGAAGTCGCAGCCCGAACGACCACAATGGCCACTCGACGTTTCCCTTCAATTCGGACAGGAAGGAAGTCGATGGGCGAACGGCGCTGCATATCAATTTCTCTCTCCCCCCACCCTCTCTCTCTCTCTCGCTCCCCCTCGTGCTCGCGACGCTTAATTCATAATTCATAATTCATGCACGCCGACAGCCTCGATTACATCCTTTTTCATAGGTGTAGGCGCCCGGCGATTGCGACACTCGACGAGTACTCGGACTCTCCGCTTGTACTCGACCGCACTCGACGGCGCACTCGACGGCACTTCTCGAAGGCAGTCGCGAGCCGAGTCCATCGAGACACCTGCCGCGATAATTCCCTCCTAAAAGCCTCCGGCTTTTCCCTCGCCAGCTGGGAAATAAGAGAGGTGAGGCAGGCCCCTCGCGGAAATAAAAGAGATACCGCCGATCCTTATCGCCGGTGGATATACACCGATTGCCTCATTCATTTTTCGCGCCACGTGCACGCGAGTGCTAATTATCCCTTCCTAGGTGCATCGGGACGCGAGAGGCCTCTCTCCTTGACTTTAGACGTGCACTGATAAAAATGCCCCTGTAAATTACATTTTCTATACGTAGATTTATTTACGTAATCATTGGTTATTTCGATGCCAGGATAAGTGGCAGGAAAATTGCATTGGATCCGATATATCGCCCTCGGCATCCACGTTAAGTTAAGGAAAATTATAATCTAACGTTACGGTTAATTTAAGTAGAAACTCACCCGTACGGTAAATATACAAGGCTTACGGGTATTTGTACTTTTTCAAATTTCTTATTTTCTCCTTTCACGTTCATCTATGTGAAATCGTCGGTTACGAGGTGAGTCGAGACGTATGTAAATTTCCAGGGATTTTTATCAGGGTGCACGAATATGTGTGTTGTGAATAGTCAAATCGTGGAATCTGGCTTTTTGTAAAACGCCCAGCCGTTTTGTAGGATGCGGCTAAATGATCAAATCCGGCTAATCATTTTATAGAGCAAGTAGGTGTTTTATAAAACGACCAAGGTACCGCTGTATTCTCAAATTCATGAAATTACCGCCTGTTTCATTATTTCGGTCGTTTCATAAAACTCCTAGTCAGTTTATAATATGGTTCGTCGGATTGTAAAACGAAGCTAAGTGAACGAAGATGAGACCAGGACACGTTTTTTTACAAAACGGTTCGGCAATTTACAATTAGTGTACTAGTGTACACTTAGAACTACAATTAGACAATTTTGCAATTAGTCCACGACACATGAATTTATGCATACACGCAAGACGCGGAGGGGCCTTACGAATGATATCAGCGCGAGGAGCCACGGGCCCTTATCAATCTCGACAATTGGAACTTCCGCCCGACGGCATCGCGTCACGTTTATATTTTCCCCTAACCGTAGATTGCATAAAAAAAAAGAAGGCGAAAAAATCTGCATTGTCAACCAGATATCTCTGTTGGTCAGAATAGATACAGTTTTCTCGGAACGCGCACCTCCCCCTCTCACCCTCTTCGTTCCTCGCGTGCCGATTGCTTCCCCCTCTCGCGGGCTGCCCACGAATTACGCGGAGAAAACGCTAAGATTTTTGCACCATTTGCGCGATATCGCCCTCTCCCTCCCAGGACGGAGGTGTGCATTTTCCCTGGAATGCAGCGCACGCTCCCTCCGTAGGCATTCTCCGCTCTGGACCGTTTCCTGATTACTGCTTGCCCCCTCCTTCTCTCTCCCTCTTTCGTTCTATGTCACGTTCCCCCGCCCTTCGTCGAAGCGAAGCCACGCGCGCGAGTACCTACGGGAGGGTACAGGGACGGACATAAATGTCTTCCCTACCGACACGGTGTGGTCGCTTTTAATAGCGTTAAACGTGCTTACCATTGCTCGTAGTAATATATCACATCCCTTTAAGATTACATGAACGGGTCATTTTATATATATCAAGACGGGAGAATATTTATCAAACTTATCTCCAAACCGGGTCCACCGAATAATTCGAAACTTTAACACGCGATCATGGAGGTCTTACCGAAGATTTTGAGACTTCCGAAATTTCTTTTTTTGTTTCGGTTCTGGTTCGGAATAAATACATTTTTTTCTCGAGAAATAACTGAAATTTCTATAAATAAATGAAATTTTGCGTACAATTTATTCGAGGGCATCTGGGCGAGATAAACATTCTTTGAATTAATAAGATATTTCTTTGGTTCAATGACATTTCTCCTCGGTGTATATGAATCCGTGATTTATTCTCAATGTACGCCTGGAGGGCGTTCATGTCCGCGAGTGTACAGGGGTGCGCGTTAATGCGAGCCGCGTTCCATTATCAAACGGTAACGCGCTGCCCAAGGTCCGGCCGCGTGTAGGTCGCGTCGGTGGATTCGGCAGGAAGCGGGAGGGGGGCTTAAGTTTACGAGGCTTAAGTGTGTGCGAGACGCACACCGAGAGATGGCCGTCGGTGTGCGCGGCCGTAATTGCGGTTAATTTAGCGAGGCTCGGTGAGCGCGGCCCCGAGCCTTTGCCGGTCAGTCCGCGCGACCGAGTGCCCTGCGACCGGTCGCCTCCTCGACCGGTTTGAACACGCTCGCGGAGGTCGCTCCCGCGGTCGATCTCGCGGTCGACCGACCTTTCGATTCGACCGATCGGGTCTACGCGACCACATCGCTCGCGAGGCGGTCCCTCCGCCGGGCCCGCGGATTCGAGGCTTAGTCCCTCGCAGGACACTGCGAGGTGAGGTCGTACGGCCCGGGGCACGTCCCATATTTTGTTTGCGCCGTTCCGCTCGCGCTCGGCCGTGTTTGTTTGGCTTGCGTAACGCGCCGAGGTTGACTCGGACTCTCGGGAGGGAGAGAGCGTCTCTTAGCCGGCCGCGGCTCGCGCTAACGGTGGAACTCGTTACGCCGGCATTCAAGGGCTACCGTTTTCGCTCGAGCGCGGATATCCTTTACTCTTGGCAACGTCGCGACTCGGTCTCGGGTGAAGCGATCGGTAAGTCGATTGCCATCCGACGCTGTCTCGCTGCTTCCGCGCGACAAAGGGTCGCCCGCGACGCGATCCTCGGCGATGAGGGCGCGAATCGGACGCGGGAAGAGGAGCGCCATCCGGGGGGCTGTGGCGCACCGCGCCGAGCGATATCCCCGACTGGGCGCGATATCGAGGTGCGCTGATGCACGCGCCGCTTGGCCGGCTCGAGTGTGAGTGCAAGCGCGCGCTCGCCGCGAACGTGCCTCGCCGAGGGAGTCCGAGGATACCCGAGGATACTCGATATTCGCAATTATTGCCACGCGGCAACTGGAAAGGCGCCGATAAACGACGGGAAGGAAAGATGTTCAAGCTCTCCGGGAGGCAGGAGTGGGAGGCCTGGACGAAGGGTAACGAAATCTCATAACTTGTTATTTCCAAATTTCGGAATTGACCCTCTTTGAGAAATATAGAATGCTTGCGATACTCTTTGTAGAACGTTTTACTACAACAATTATGGGGCAGCTTTTTTGCAATGCCAAGGTCAGAGTCTAATTTACGTCGATGAGTTTAGAATTTCTTGATTCCTCCCGAGCCTCGAAGGTCCCATTTTTTGGAATTCTAATCTAATAGTTGAATCGAGGTTTTTGGCCCAGTTTTTTGGGAAGTCTTGAGATTTACGACGAAACTTCAGTAATTCGATGGTTTTTTTAACAGCTTCTGGCAGGAACGTTATGCTTCATTTCCGTGCGCTTGGAAATGAGGCATTACTTTGGGGGTCAAATTAACGGCGATTTCTTTTTTCTTCTTCTTTTTTTTTTGCGGTTTTACTCTTTTTATTCTTTGTAATCGAAAGAAAGAGTCACCCAGTATGCGGAGAGCAATCCGCGGCGAAGGTGGAGAGGGAAATTTGCATTCCCGAGGAGGACTTAAGGAGGGACGAGAGGGCAGAGGCGAGAAGCTAAAGGTTAAGAGTCTCGCGTCGAGACTCGAGATGCCCGGGATGATTATGCGCGAGATTTGGAGGTTATGTTCGGGGGAGGGGATCGCCGGGCACATTTCTATCCGCTCTCTTCTCTCTCTCTCTTTCTCTTTCTCCGGGAGCGCCGCACCTCGTGGATGCACTCCGGCCCCATGATGGGAGAAAGTATTGAATAATGCATCGAGCGGCATCTATGAACGAATTCATCTCGCGAGAGCGAGAGAGAGAGAGAGAGAGAGAGAGAGGAGGGGAAGGAAGAGAGGAACCGTGTTCCTCCGTTCCGGGTGATGGTGGATAAAGCGTGATCTCTGGATTCTTAATTTTCCTGAAATTTATTTCGCTACCCCTTCAGGTGATCTTCTAGTACAGGGGGTGTATATATATACACTGAAAAAAAGCGTCTATTGAACCTGAGAAATATTTCTTTGAACGATACCACAGAAATATTTTGTAAATTCATATCCGACTGAAATAAATTGTCACAATTCCGAAGCAAAGTTGCCACCAATTTATTCGAGTTTATTTCAGTAAAATAATGATCCCTTGAATTAAGATGAATTTCTTTGACGCTATTCCAAGGAGCATTTCTTTGGTTCGATGAATTTCTTTTTTTTCTCGGGGTGGATGAAGTAGATATAAGATAGATGTAATGTACATATGAAGTATCTATCTAGCAGGGTGTCCCGGATGATTATTGTTCCCTGCTCTGAAATGGGCGTGGTCCTCGGCTGAGCCCTTGACGACCGAGACTTTTCCCAGGACCTCCAACAAAGCCCGACACGGAGGTTTGATGTATGTTAAACGCGTTTCCCCGGCAGTCATCACGGTCCATTACTTCTGCAGTGGGTCGTTGTCTCCCAGACCCCGTCGACCTCGCCAGGGCATGGGCAATTTGAATAACGATCCGCGTCGTCCGGAGGAACCGTCGTCCGATCGCTCCCGGGGTGGTTTCTGATTTTTTAGAAACGATGGAAAATACTTTGAAGCCCTTTTAGCGGCTCGCGTTTCGACCTCGGGGGTGTCGGCCACGGAGGCTCGGGAGGGAAGGGAGTGGTCTTCGCAGCTGTTGCGGCCCGAGGGCTGACGCACCCTCGTTGCAACAAAGAAATCCTATACGGGACACCGTATTGCATTACTCGTCGATACGTACGGTTAAGCCGGCGGTGCGTTCGTTGAAAGCCACGCAACGGGAAGGGGGAGCGAGTGCGTTAATCCCTACAAAATGAAGAATTAAAAAATGAATGATTAAGGGTGAAAAGAAAAATGAGAAAATGAAGAATGAAATATCAGGAATTGCCGTGGAAGTTTGGAAAAGAAAAGTTCAATTTATTTAATATACCCGCAAAACGGCGATTGTCAGGGGCGACCTTTACTTACTGGTACTGTCTTTGGAACATCGGGTTCCTTTCCTTGTTTTTATAGAGGTCTCCCTTACAAGAGAAAGAGTACCTAAGCTTCCCTCCCCAGCGGTGGCGTTTCTTTTTGTGACGAATTTCCCGTGTCGCGTGGCCTTGAAGGTTGACTGAAAATTGTTTAAAAATTGTCAACCACCCCGTGAATGGATATGTTTCACATGAAAGGATAAGTTTAAGCCCTCCGTGGCTAAATTTAGGTTGAAAGTATTATCTCTTTATTATGATAGGGCGGTATCCATGTGGGAAGTGGTCTCGAATGGAGGAACGGTCTCGCTGGCGGTAGTCACGCGAAGGGTCGGCGTTTCCTCCGAAGGGCAGAAATCGGCGCAGAAGCCACGGGGCGCGGAGGGGGATGAATCACGAGTGGGAAAGGAAAATCGATACGGGCCGACACTGACCCTCGACGGGCCGCTCTTCGCGGCCATGCGCCCGTGCGTGCGCCTCCGTGCACCCGGGTGCACCCAGGGGCGCGACTGCATGCCCGCGTGTCGGGGGGAAAGAGGGAGAGAAAGCGAGAGGGAGGAACGGAAATTACCCGTGTCGCGGGAGACGCTGTTTGGTTTCGGGTGACCGGGGCTCGCTTTTTTTCCACTCCCGGGTAATGCGTCCATCGACTCGACAGGGAGCGACAATCCCGGCCGGGGCGGAACCAAGATGGCCGCCGGGGACGCGGACGACATGTGGCCCACAGCCGGCCAAGGAAGTGGCGTCCAGTTTCGGGGAGGGTGAATCAAAGGATTCCGCCGAGTCTTTCCCCGTTGATTTATATACCCTCCTTAAACGCACATTTTCATATTTATATTAATACCACGAGGAACGAAATTCATTTGACCGTGTAGAAATTTCTACGAACAGTACCGAAGGAACATGTGGTTAATTGAAATGGTAATCAATGACTCGAGTAAACTCTAGTAAATCGTCATAAGAGAATATGGAGATAAGAAATGTTGCGTCCTATTTATTTCAGTCGAATAAGGATTCTTTGAATTTAACTTTGGTACTATTTAGTGAATGTATTTTTGTGGTCCAATTGAATGTTATTCTCAGGGGGTGCACCGTGAAATAAAGGAAAGGGGAAATAACGCCCAAGGAAAATTGAAAATGGGTAGAATTTATTCAAGTGAAAACGTTTTTGGAGTATGTCCAGCTGAGGAAGATCTCCAGTTGTCCGGCTGCAGTGGTCTTTATTAGCGGGAGCGATACTTTTTTTTTTCCCCAGCCGTTTCAGATTTATTTGCAAATTCGGTAAGCCTTTTTTTCGAAAAGAAGCTTATCTATGATTACTTGAAAATATACATCGGAATATGAATGTTCGATGTTTATGACACTTTACGTCTCGATTCGCGCCCAACTTGGCCGAGGTTATTTTTGCCAGGACTCGTTTCCGCGCAGATCTCGAAGCGGAAGGAGGACCTCGAGGGGGGGGATTTGCGCAATTCGCGGACGTCTCGTCGGGTGCATCGGCGTTGTCTCCTCTCGGACGGCCGTCTCGTCGGGAGTGCTGGGGCGAAAGTTGCGGGGAACTTATTTTTAGGCGACCCTCCCCCTCCGCCTCCGCGCGCGGAGGGCGAGCCACGTGACGAGGTCGAAAAAGCGCAACGCGAATAACCCGCCCCGCGGGATTTTTCCCTCTTCCCTTTTGCACCAAATTAAAAAGAAGGCGTTTTCACTCGTAACAATAAAACTGCCGACAAAATGTTTCTCTTATCCGGGCATTACAATAATTGCCGACAATGTACGTTCGCAATAGTGCGTTCCTAACATGACGTGGCCACAGGAGTTTCCTTTGGGGAAGGTTGTTTACTATCAGCAAATAAAATTGTGAGGATATAAAAAGAAAATGTCGCTTGTATCGTCACTCGACCAAACGAGCAATATACAGCTTGTTGGCGCTGCTAGAAATATAGCGTAACCGTCAATAATGTTTTTGTTGATTCGGTGAAGTATAACGGTCTTTATTATCTATACGGCGAGTATATGCGATTAATTCTTATGGGCTCATTTTCAAGCTTACATTCGCTTAAGTTAAATTTTCTATCATAGCTGTGAATTATTTTTCTACCCTGAGATATAAAAGTTCATTGAACCAAAGAAATATCCCTTCGAGGGTACCAACAAATATTTCGTTAATTCTAAGAATAATTATTTGGCTGGAATGAACTCAAGTAAATTGTCGTTATTTCGAATAAATCTTCCATCCGATTTATTCGAGTTTATTTGAGTCAGGTAATTATTTATTGGATTGACAAAATATTTCTGCGGTTCAATGGTCATTTTTTTTTCTCAGCGGACGTGTGGTTTTGTCCATTATTTTTTTTTTCTTGGCTCGCCTCCTCGCCTTCCGGCCGATTGACTTTGACTCCTACTCGGAGGGGAACCTCTCTGCGCGGGGGTACGAGGGCATCGCGTTATTGTTATTCCGCGGAGATCGCGCCTCTTCTTTCTCTTTCTCTCTCTCTTTCTCCCCCATTGTCTCTCGGTAGTCCGGGAATAAACGAAGTAGCGTGTGTACGCCCGGTAAAAAATAACGGCGAGGGGAGAAGCGACTCCGACGACGGACGCGATCGATCCTCCTCGATTCGTCGAAGTCTGGAACTTCGGCACCTGAGTATCGAGGCCCTAAGAAAGGACGCGATACTCATGAAATTTAATTTTTCCAAAAAAATACGTGCCTTTGGTTCTAATCTGGGATGAATGAAAAAAAAAAGGTTTTTCTGAAAAAATGAATTTCATGAGCATCGCGTTCTTTCTTAGGGATTCCGTAATCGCGCGATGAGGTTTCAAATGATTAGATGCGCCCAGTTCGGAGGTAAATTTTAGAAATATTTTGACCGATCGATATACATAGAATGACACTTTCATAACCTTAATTTCCGCGAGCAGGCCTCCTTGATCGACTCCACTTTTAAACCAGGTCTTTAACGCACTTGTCCACCCCATATACAGATAATTTACCGACTATGTGTACGCGTAAAACGGCTGATTCAATTTTGGCCGAGTCGTGCACGTAGTAACCATTCACCGATCCCTCGTAATCGCGAATTAAATGCGCCGAGCCACTTCTGGCTCAACGAGTCTCTCACCCTCTCATCTCGCGGGTCTTTTTCTGTCCTGCCCCCCGACTCACTTAAATCGAAAGTAACCAATTGATGTCAATAGACGAGGCATCGGTCGCGAAACAGTTCGGCGTCCTCGGTACTCCGATTCGCCTAACGAGCTCGATCGCTCGATCTAATCGAGCTCTTCCCTCGCCTTGCCAATTATCGCTCCTAAAAGCTTTTCCGAGGCTTTTCCGAGGCTGCTCGCGAAGTCCTGGCACGCACTCGACGGAGATATGCGTACTTCGCGAACAAGAGGCGAGATTTAATCCGCCATCGCGGCGACTTCGCGCCAGGACGGCCGCGTGCGGAATACTGATGAGGAGGGCCCTAACTCCGGAGTATGGTCGAGGGTGCGGAACGGCTGCACGCGCAATAGGACTTCGTTCGAATTATTCTATTTCTTTTTTCATTCTCCCTTCACCCGAGAGTCCGACATTCAGTGTCTGACGAGCGTCGCGAAAGTTGCCCATTGCGTGCCACGTCACATTTTACCTCCCGAGGGAGGGAAGTAGTCACTTTCCGCTCGCATAAAAGCGGAGTTCGGGAGGAAAAGTATCGTTGGACAGTTGGTGGCGTATCGATCGATGAGGTGGTGAGTGGGGCGTTCTTATTAACAAACGCCTCGGAGGATTAAATGGTTTATCATTGTTTGATGACGAATTTGTAAAATATTTCGACGAAAACATCCACTTTTAGGTTTCACTTTAGTAACCGTTCACTTTCCTCTCTCGTTACGTAATTTACTAGTTGTCTGTTCGACATCGAAGGGGAGAGTATTTACACGTGAAAGCGGGAAAATCGGCCTCCATCGAGGGGAAGAGTTTTTGGCCAGGCCGTATAATTGCCCTTTCCGCAAATTCGATCTCGGCCCGGCGCAACCGTCTGGCCGCGGGGGGAAATATTCCTCTATTTTCCGGCGAGCGCGTGTATTTTCGTTTAACCTTCGCACTCGTGGATGGAAGTTCGCGCAATTCGAGGCCGGCCGCGAATTCGGCCGAGACCCGGACGAGAGAGCGGTCGAATGGTCGCGGCCGGTACGTCCGAGGGGATTTAATTGACCGGCGTGAATGTGTATGTATGCAAATATGAATTCGTGTATTTTTCATTTTTGTTCGACTTTCCGTTTCCTTTTCATTCAATTTGGCGGATCGCCCCGCCGAGAGTGCTCACCGACCCACTTCTCGGCGACGGCCGTTGTCCAGAAGTCCGGATGCCGATCCAGGAAGTTCGGCAGGAAACTGCAGCCCGTGAAAAGCGATTGCGGCATCGCCGGCTCGCGAACTCCGTTATAAATAATATTTATGCAACCATGTGGCACAACGGGGAGGGCGAGTCGACCCGAGTGTTCTCCGCGTCGCCCGTTCGTGCGTAAAACCGGCCGCGAGTAATCGCACCGATAATCCGGCATCGGAGCGAAATGCGGCCGCAAAGTGCCCCCGAGTGCGGAGAAAAATCTCAGCCTCGGGGAAAGTCTCTCCACCTTGCGGGGAAAATTCGATCGGGATCTGTGGAATTCGATTTTCCGAAAAAGAAATTCCTAGACCGGGTCGGATCGATTTCGAGGACTGCTTCGACCACCATGCCGGTTGACTTGCGTCTGGACAAGAGGATGGAAAAACGATACTTCTCGGTGTCGGTCTTACGCCGAGTCGTGCCGACATGCGAGACCTGATACGAATTGCGCTGAATTATGTGCGAGGGTCTTGATAGAGGATTTTTTTAATCGGGTTAGAAGTGGGAAAGAATTTTCCAAATTTTTCGAATTAGACGAATTATTAGAATTATTTAAATTATTTGATTAGACGAGCGGACTCGAGAATCGAAGTTGAGGATCGCCGGGACGTTTCTGAGATGTTTGCGGGATTTAAAGGCCACCGGGCGGGAGCCGTAACGGTAACTGTCGGTCTTTTTGCGGCACACTTAGCGAGGCGCGATGTTACGCCACGGTGCTCATTGAACTTGACTCTCGAACGCGTCACCTTTACGGGACACTCGATCGATTCCTCGAGGCGAAGGCCTGCGAGAGAGCGGCAGCGAGGAAGAGCGCGAGAGCGAGCACTCGGACTCCGTCAGGACTAAAAGGGGAGTCGAGGCCCACGAGGGGATCGATCCTCGACCTCGTCCTGGATCGTCCCAAAGGGCCGAGCCTGCCCTTTCCATCTCCTCGCCCACGCGGGAGATGCACAAAGTCGGACTCCATTCCCCTTGTCCTCCTGCCCTTTCTCGGCTCGCCTCTTTACTGGTGGAAAAAAAAATTAACTTTCTAGGCAAAATTATTGTCTCTTATATTTCTGAAATATATTGCGATCTCAATATATTTCTCGCTGAAGAAATTTCTTGGCGCTGGTAAGGCTGCTTTTGTGATCATCAGGATTGTGATCCAAACAACGGCGAATTGATATCAAGGGGAAATGATTTTGCAAAAAGAATTCCACGTACAAAAGTGCTCTCAAGTGTTGAGGATATTAAGGAAGGTAATTCTATATTAATCGTTCGTGAAACTGATCTTCAAAATGGGGGTGTCGAGTCGTTTCAAATGTTAGAACGTGAATGTACAGGTTTTAAGGAAGGCTCTCCGACCCCCATGAGATTTCATTTTTTTCTAAAAAAATATTTAAATTTGTGGGAACATTTGAAAGAAAAAGTGACATTTCTGGGTGTCAATGCGTCTCTCGTAGACTCCACGTTCACGGGGTGAAGTTTGAAACGATTCGGTACACCTCGTTCGGGGATAAGTTTCATAAATGGGACCTCTCTGACGCCACTTTATATTATATTTTGAATGGAATGTTGGGTTGAACCCTCAAACAGATTAGTACTCCATAGAAATGATTTTTAACTGGAAATTTTCTTTGTAACGCGGGGGCTTCGCTTATTCCAGATATCAGGCTGCAGCTGAACGAGCAGCTACGATGCCTGGACGTGCGCATGGAGGCGCAAGTCGCCCTGGTCGCCGAGCTGCAGGACTTCTTCCGAAGGAGGGCCGAGCTCGAGCTGGACTACAGCAAGTCCTTGGACAAGATGGCCAAGAGCATCCAGCTCAGGCACAAGGAACAAAAACAAAAGTACTTATTTCTCATCAGTGAAGAGTTTGATATGCACCGACCCGCCTCCGCGAAGGCGCCGAGGCGAAACCTCTCGCGTCGCGAGTAAAATGAAAGATATCTTTGAATGTCATCGAGGAAATATTTTGTTAATTCGAAGAATAATTATTTTAGGTACACAAGCTCGAATTAATCGGATGTACCCTTCCTTGTCTCTACATTCTCTTACGACACTTTATTTGAGCTTATTTCTAATTAACACATATCCTTCTTGGGCACCATTCAAAGAAATATTTCTTTGGCTCGATGAATCGTTTTTTTCTCTTTTTTCTCAGGGTAGGAGTCGTACGTAGACGCAGATTCGATATTCCGGAGGCGAGGCGAGGATTCGCCTCGGTTTCTTTCGACTTTTATCCTGGAAATCGGCTTATATTCTCTCGGGGCCCCTCGGTACCGTGATTGTAAGGCGGTGCCGTACGTGTGCGCGCTCGCGGAATGCCCGCGATCTACATGCGCCCGCAATCCGGATTATTTATTCTCGTTGCGGCCTGCGGATATCTCGGATCTCCTCGGGCGTCCCGATTTCCCCGAACCCGAATCGTTTTGTCCCTCTTCCTCCTACAATTTTGCCGGATTTGCCCGCGAAATTATTCCGCACGACGCAAACCGGGACACAAAGCCGGCGACCCGAGGGGGATATTGTTTAGCCGTCGCGTGCGTGTTTTGGACGTGCGGCGCCGGAATTGTGGTTTCGGAAACTGTGGTTTAAATAGAACACTAGACGCGGAAAAATATTCAACCGATAAAATGGATATCGATCCAATCAGAAATTGGCCGTACGCCGCGATGTGGTGGCGCTCTATTTTACGCGTACACAGGGAGAAAAAAAAAGAAAAAGTAAATTGAACTCATTTTCTGAGTTAAACATGGCGGACTCAATAAGCGAGTTGGTTCAACTTCGATTTGGATCTAAATCACATGGAGTTGAATCAACTCATCCGTACAGTTGGTTCAACTCAATAATGAGTTGATGTAACTCATTTTAAGCTGAATCGATTCTTTTTCTTTACCAACATTTTGGACGCCAATTTACCCATCACATTTAAAACGCGCCGCACATCCAAAATTGCCGCAGGTCCAAAACGCACACACGTGCGTCAGGCATTATTCGTCGGAATTCAAAGGTGGGACGACTTTGCGGTCCGGATGTCGAATTAAGTCCCAGCGGCCTCGACTTGTCTCGTGATAATTCGAGGGCTTAAACTCGGTTGATCCGATGTCCCCAGGAGAGAGCAGTGGCCCCTGTTCTCCAGCTACGCCTGCTGGCAGCAACTCGTCAATGAGACGAAGTCGCTTAGCAGAGACCACGCGGCTCTTTCCGAGGTCTACAGCACGCATCTCGTCGGTAGGCTCAACCAGGTCATGGAGGACGTCCAGCGGATCTACAAACGCGTAAGTTTCGCCAGACCCTAAGATAGTTTTCTCAACACGGGGGAAAAAAAAAGAAGAATGGTCAGGAAAACCGCAATAGGAATAATCGTAACCATGTTGCAAGGTAAAATATGGGATAACCTTCTCAAGAGATTGTGGCAATTGGAGTAACATAGTAAAAGTACAAGGTACTAATTGTTGTAACACTAAGATAATCGTAACATCCCCGCGTAGTTAATATTACCATTCGAAATCACTGCTGCAATTTTTTAACGTGACCTCGTGGACATGGCAACAATTTCCAAGGTTACGTTTACCTTTCGATGTGATCGATCTCATCATTTGCGCGGTTCATGTTTATAGCAATAATTTAGCTATGTCGTAGTAATTGTAACCAAATTATTTTCTTCTTCCGTGAAGTAGACTCCGTGATCTCTTTTTCTTACTTCATGATCATTCTGTTTATTTTATTCCAGTGCCGGGAGATCGGCTACGAGACACACGAGGAGATCCTTCGAGTGCTTCACGAGCTCCACACCACGATGAAGACCTACCAAGCCTATCAGGCAGAGTCCAGACAAGCCGAGACCAAGCTACGCGTTGCCGAACAGCAACGAAGCAAGCTAGAAGTAGCCAACGTACCTCCGGAAAAGCTGGCTCGCAGCAAGAAGTACCGCCTGATCGAGAAGGAGGTCAACAAGGTTCGTTTAAGGACTATCTGCATTGATCGTAGATACGTTAAGGGGATGTGAAAGTGGCGTTCGAGGGATCAATGAAACTTTCCTCCTAACTGAGTGCATCGAGTCGTTTCAAGCTTCCCAACGTGAATTTGGAAGCTAGGCGGAAGGTCCTACAATCGTGACATTTCATTGTTTACAAGAAATTTATAAAATGCCTATGAACAAATTAAAATATTGTAATTTCATGGGCGTTAGGACCTTCTTGGCAGCGTCCATATTCATATTGTGAAGTTTGAAACGATTCAGTAAATCCAGTTCGGAGAAAAGTTTCATAAACGAGACCTCTGATGCCATATTCACATCACCATTAAGGCTGAGCCTCACTCGTTACCGAATGACAATGTTGTTTATCGTATGAAATCAAAGGTAATCGGTTCTCAAAGAAGGAAAATCGTTTTCTCTGATTTCCGAGTGAACGGCCCCTCGAGGCAATGAATGAATGTTTTTCGACGGAAGTGCTGCCGATCGAAGAAGTCGGCCGGATCCAAACCTGGCAAGGACTTATGGACCAGCTTGACACTTCTTCTCGAGGGTTTCAAGAGAACTCGAACTTTGAGAGAGAGAGAGAGCTTGAATTAATTCGCGATATCTCGGGCGAGTCACGGGATCATCCTGCGGACGCGTGGCCAGGATTTTCGTGCAATCTTGTTCTGACAAATTGATCGGCCTGTACAGTCGTAATGCAATTTGGAGCGGTCGTCCGCGCAACCGTCGACGAAAATAGTGAGATTGAATCAGTTGGTTTAAATCAATTGATTTAACTCAGTCAACCCCTGATTGCCTATACAATTTAGACGTCTTGCGCGACTTCGTAATGCTTCCTCTTCGTGAGGCTTTTTCTGGTGGCAGTTTTGGCGTCGATTTCTTTCTTACTGGGGAAATCGGACGCCAAGCGTTGCTTCCTTGGAAGCAAATAAGTAAGAGCGTATTATTATTATTTGCATATTACGGGAGAACGGAAGGAAAGGTGTTCAGGGGTTAACAATCCTGGCATACATTCGCCGGGCCTGAAAAACTGATGGCCGGGCGATAAAAAAAAAGACAGTTACATCGAAAATGAGGTGAACCGCGCTCCGAAAGTCGAGGGAACGTCCAGCTGGACGGCTCGTGAAGAGGTTCCGGCTGGTCGTGCTTTTTTTTATAAATCCGATGAATATGAGAAATATCTCGCCGCCGGTTTCATGGCTCCCTTTCTTGGTACACATGGACGGCCGAGAGGCTGCGTATCTCGTTTGATAATCAATGAGGGGAATTGAGGTGATCGACCGGATTGTTTGTGCTTAGCTCGTGGAAGTTTGCGAAGCCAGAGAAAAACTGCTCGGAGGGTTTACACGGTTTACACTTAACCTGGTGGAAAGCTCGTTTGAATTGACCTCGATGTTGCGTTACTCTCGATTTGCAGGCAAAACACTGTTCGGTTGATTATCAACTATGATCAAGAGAGGTCGGACCTTGGGAAGGTACAGGAATGCATCAAAGGTTAATAAATATCTCAAGAGGACGTCATGATATGTATTGTAAAAAATGAAAAATAACAGAGAAAGAAATGGGAATCGTCGGCACACATGTGTCGCATTTCCTCCTCGCTCTAAGGAGGGGCTCTCAAGGATAAGATCAAGGGTGACTAATGACTTAAGACGCGTTAAGACAGAGTAATGGTGGAGTGGAAGGAAAAAAAATGTATGGGAGGAGCGATTATCGAAAACGAACAGGTCAAGAGAAGACGGGCCATGAAAACGTTGGCACAGCAATGCGCCGAAGATGCGAAAATATTTTAAGAGAACGTCACAATATGTATTATAAAAAAGAGAAGAAATAGGAGAAAAAAATAGTTTGAGAATCGTCGGCACACGTGTTTCGGATTTTCTTTTCGTTCGAAGGAGGGACTCCTAAGGATAACACCAGGGATGACAAACGACTTAAGACGCGCTAAGATAGAGTAATGGCGGAATGAATAAAAAAAAAAGTGAGAAATAGGAGGGTAGATTAACGAAACGGAAGAGTTACTCGGGATATTTCGAGTGATGCCATCATCGTGATTTCCGTCGTTGATGCGACCGAGGGACTTTCGGTGTGTCCTCTCTTCTAGGAAATCGCCCTATTAAGGGCGTTCCTTCTTTCCCCGGCGGCGATTTTTCTCGGGGATGTCGCAGAAACTCGGGGGTGAAAGATGGAGGGAGGGGCCTTCTACAGATTGAAGCACATCTGCGCTTTTTGTGGCGCCCTGGACGCCGGTAGAAAAATAAATAACTCGGCGGCGCTCCGGGTCTTACGGCAAGACAGATGGTTCTAACGGAACGAGGTACGACCGGCCGAGAAAGGGGACGGAAAAAGTACGAGAAACGAAGAGGGAGGACCCGAGCAACACGTGCAAGCTCATCTCTCCCAGAGAGCTCTCTAGCTGGAAATTATATCCCTCACAGCCACCGTTACCGAGACCGGTCGACACGGTTTAAATCAAACTATGGAAATCCTCGAGGCAAAAGGACAACCGAAGGAGCCAGGAGGAAGTCCTGGAGGCGTTCCGTTCCCGGCACCCGTTAGGATGGCCTGGATATCTCGGAATTGTTTGGAGCTCGCCGCGGGGGCTAAATTATTGGCCCGAGTGTTTGCACCACGTCGAAAGGCGGTTTACATAGTAGGGAACGGAATTAGCCAATAAGTGTCGGTCGGTGATGTCACCGTGGAAATCTTGTATCGTTGAATAAAGAGGAGATGAAAAATCGGAAGAAGAGACGGGGCCTCTTCTTCGCGCATAAAGCTGTCCGCCTCCAGATGGGAGGGTGAAAAAGCGCCAAGTGGAGTACATCTGCCCGTGGAATCCGAGTGGCGGACCGGCCGGCGAAATCGAGCACAACGATCCATTGATGGGATCGAATGGGCGGCTGTCGGGACTTCCTTCGAGGGGGAAGAGAGGGAAAAAATAAGCGAGGAGTCTCTGTACAGAAATTAACGTTCCTCGGGTGGGCGCTCTCGTTCGGCCGAATCGATAACCCGGAGGGCCACTCGAAAGCGAGGGTGTCCGAGATTCTCTAATCGAGGCTTCGATCGTTTCAGAGGAAGAACAAATACACGGAGGCGAAGCTGAAGGCGCTCAAGGCCAGGAACGAGTACATCCTCTGCCTGGAAGCGTCCAACACCACGATACACAAGTACTTCGTCGACGACCTGTCCGATCTCATCGATGTAAGTCGGTTGAGTGAACGCATTCTCTTCCTGGCGAGCTTCCTCCATCCTTGAGGCGAGGCTTTTAACTTCCCCGTTTACCCTTAGTGTATGGACTTCGGGTTTCACAACTGCATCGCCAGGGCCCTACTGATGCACTGCAGCGCCGAAGAAGGCAGGCAACGATCCTTGCAGTCAGGAGCGGAACAACTAGCCACCTGCGTCGGCGCCCTGGACTCCAGAGCTGATAAGCAGAGGTTCCTCGAGTCGCATCACGCTGCTTTCATGATTCCTAAAAAATTCGAGTTCCAGGGCCAGCGAGGAGACGAGGTGAGGACAGTTTTGAGTCGGCGAAGTAAAAGAGTTCAGAAGTCTCCCCATACACTAACTAAGAAAAAAAAAAAACATTCATTTAACCAAAGGAGTATTTGTTGAATGGTATCAATGAAATATTCTGACAATTCAAAAAATCATTGTTCGACTCAAATCGGTCACAAATCCGTTTTCATGTCGCAGACTCCCGAGCCCGAGCTGCAGAAGGTGCTGCACACGGAAATGGAGCAGAGGCTGGCGCAGCTTCAGCAGAGGGTCACGTCTCTCAGGACGGAGTCCGAGGAGGTGTGGAAAACCTTGGAGACCGCCGAGGCGAGTCTCCTGGAGATGCTCACGGCTAGGGATTACGACTGCTCCAGGTATTTCGGGGAAAATGCGATGCCCACGTCGAGGCCTCCCGAGACCCTGCAGATCAAGCTGAGGGCCGACAGACAGGAGACGGAAGAGTTCTATCTCACGGTAAGGAACGATGGAAGGTGGCAAATTATTTTAATAATGGACAAATGAGAGTAATGGATATTTTAATACGACAGTGGCGTCAAGGAGGTCTCGTTTATAAAATATGCCTCCGAACTGAGGGTAGCGAATCGTTTCAAACTTTACAGTGTGAATATGGAGGCTACAAGGAAGGTCCTAATCTCCATGAAATTTCATTTTTTTTAAATTTGTTTATAAACATTCAAAAAATTGTTTATAAAAAATAAAGTTTCATGGGGGTCAGGACCTTCCTTACGGCTTGCATATTCACGTTGTAAAGTTTTTAAGCGATTCGGTACGCACGGTTCAGAGCCAAGTTTCATGCATGATCGACCCCTTGGATGAAACTTTGACGTTCCCTTAAATTATTTTCACGAGTTTTGAGAAGGTCACGTTTGGATTCTTCATCCGCAGAAATTCAGGGAGTATCTGCTCGGGACCTCGAGAATAGCCAGGCTCGACGCGAAGCAGGAATATATACGCCAAAGTCTGTTGGACGGATCGACCGCCAGTCCGAATCCTTCGATATCGACCAGCAAGCAGAAACAAGCTCGCAGGAAGCGAATCGGCCGTTTGCAGATGAACGGTCAGCCCAAGTTGTTTGGCGGGTCTTTGGAGGAGTACCTGGAGAGCACCAACCAGGAGATCCCCCTGATCATGAAGAGCTGCATCCGCGTGATCAACCTGTACGGGCTCCACCATCAGGGCATCTTCAGGGTGTCCGGCTCCCAAGTTGAGATCAACAACTTCAGGGAGTGGTTTGAAAGGGGAGAGGATCCCTTGGCCGACGTGACCGACGCCTCCGACATCAACAGCGTCGCTGGGGTCCTTAAACTCTATCTCAGGGAACTGAGAGAGCCTCTCTTCCCCATAATCTACTTCGAGCACCTCATGGAATTGGCGCAATTGGAGTCGAAGCAAGAGTTCGTCCTGAAGATGAAGGAGCTGATCTCGAGCCTTCCACGGCCGGTCGTTATCGTCATGCGATACCTCTTTGCTTTCCTGAACCAGTGGGTGTCATTTCCTCTCGATTACCTTCCTAATGTTAAGTGTTTTAAGGTGATATGAAAGTGGCATTTGAGAGATCAATCGTTCGTGAAACTTTTCTCCGAACTGGGTGTACCGAATCGCTTCAAATTTTATAACGTGAATATGGAGGCTATAAAGAAGGTCACGACACCCAGAAAAGTTCTGTTCTTTAACTACTTGCTCATTGGTAATTAAGAAATTTTTTGATAAATGAAATTTCAAGGGTATCAGGACCTTCCTTAAAGTTTCCTTATTGACGTAGTAAACTTTGAAATAATTCGACATAGTCAGTTCAGAGAAAAGTTTGATGAATAATTACCCTTCAGATGCCACTTTCATATCACCTTAAGGTACCAAAACGTTTATGTATATAAAATGACCCTTTCATAACATCTTAATATTTTCTAAGAGGTCGTCGTGACTTTCCCTTTTCAGTCTCTCGGAATTCTCCGACGAGAACATGATGGACCCGTACAACCTCGCGATCTGCTTCGGGCCTACGTTGGTCCCGGTTCCAGAGGACAAGGATCAGGTGCAGTACCAGAATCAAGTGAACGAGCTGATAAAGAACATCATCACGTTCTACGAGGAAATATTCCCCGAGGACATCGGTGGCATTCAGTACGAGAAATACATCAGCAGAGAGCCTGATGATGTGTACGTAAACTTTGGACCTGTGCGCGCTTGGCCGTGGCTAATATAAACTGTGTACAATAAACTATTCGCGATCTGTTTAGGGACGTGGGTGATTCACCGACCGACCAAGTGCAGGAAGACATGGACTCGGAGGTCTACCCGTCCGAGGACGGTGAGGAAGCCTTAAGTTAACGTTAAAGCTAATTGACCCCGGATTCGATGGGCAGCTGCGAAAAAGAGCGGGCAAATCGGGGGAAATTTGAAGTAAAATAGGTTCCATGGTCCGGGGTGATGAATAAACGGCGCGTAAAGCGGTCTTGCTCCGAGGGCGAGTTGATTGTCCGGAGCCTTGGGGGTTTAACGAGGTGGAGAGCTCGTCCTCCCCTGAAGTGGAGGTATTAGGTGTACTAGGAGTCCCTCATTGTTCCACAGAGTCGGAGAACCTGGGGGCAACCGCGCAGTTCGATTTCACGGCGAGGTCCGAGAGGGAGCTCAGCTTTAAGAAGGGCGATACGCTCACACTGTTCACGCAGGTCAGCAACGACTGGTGGAGGGGCGCAGTCGGCAGCAGAGAGGGGCTCATTCCTGACAAGTACATCATGCTCAAGATAAAGTAGGTCCAGCTCGACGTCCGACTGTCGCGACTATCAACTTGGACTTCTTTCCCACGATCCGAAACCGAACCTCGTTTGTTTTCAGAGGCGAGGAGCGAGAAAAGGAACTGCTGAAGTCGTCGAGCGAGGAGTCGATGCGACGTCGAGCCTCCAGCTCGGCAGATAGCATTCTGTCGAGCAACAACTCGCCGCTGATGGGACCAAGCGGGGCCGGCAACACCTGGGCCTCGGCGATGACCTCGGACGGCTCGACGGTGAGCTCGGGCGTGTTGCAAGCCGACGTCGGTGGCGCCGGTGGCGGCACCGGCGCCCCCGGCAACGCTCAGGGCGTCCTGACGAACGCAGTCTGCGTCTCGTCCTCCCAGCCCATCATCAGCCGAGAGGTATTGGAAACCACCGTTTAGCCTTGCCCCGAACACACGAAAGCCTCCCGAGTATGTCGTGCCGAGTGCTTCGGGTCCTCGGCGCGAACGCGCGAGCGCTTGGTTGACGCCACCTTACGCCATGTTTGAGCCATTTATGCGCCACTTTTGAGCCATTTTCGTGCCATTTTTGAGCCACTTCTGTGCCACTCTAGGCAATCCAGAGAGGCGCCGACTTCGCGGCTTCGATCCTCGACCTGGTCGACGGATCGAGGCGAGCGCCGCTCGTGGATCATTCTGGAATCAGGTGCATGGCTCTTAGGCTGCATCCCCTTAGCTCGTTTTGCGACACGCGACGCGTCGCGTGGCCCGAGATGCACGATCAAGCTTGCCTGTCTGCACTTGCGCACCCGCAATTTCGAAATCATGCACCGCTTAACACCGGCTGATCCCGCTAGAGGCGCGGTCGATGCTAAGCGAACGAGACACGACGAGACGAGAAGTTTGAGAAAATGGGGTCGCATCGTGTCGGTCCATTGTATGCACGGGAACCTCTTGACTCGATTATTAATCGTGTCAGTTATGCGGTATTTATCACGTGTTTGCATAATTATGGTATTTTAAGGTCGCTAGAGTCAAGAAGTGCCTTGACATAAATTGGACCTGCACCAGAGGCGAAATTTTGGAGCTACCTCTTTTCTTTGGCATCTTGGACACGGCGCCATCTTGTCTGACTTGACGACGCCATTTTGTTTGACTTGACCATGACGCCATCTTGTCTAATTTACCGACGACGCCGTACATATGATACGTGTCGGATTTAAGATAAATTAGACCTTGACGGAAACTGTCGGGACGTTTGACCGTGACTTTTCGGAATTCCTATCTGACAGGCTATCTGGTTACGTTCAGGGCGAGACGAGTACGGCATGGCGCGTGGAAGTCGATTCTTACGCGATCCGTGCAGAGTTGGCACAATCTCGTCCTCAGGGACACTCAGAATGACCGTTTATCGGCTCACGATATAAACGGTGGATTTATGTAGGACTTTAAAACGATTTTAAGTAGAGTCCGTTGTGGAGTTTTTTTTTTGTTTTTTTATCGACCTGAAGTTCGAAGTGTTCGGTACGTTCACGCTCGCTTCTGGCAGAGATGTCGACGTCAATTCCCCGGGACGGACCCGAGCTTATACCGGAAAGACGGGAGTCTATCTTTAATTCGTCGAGGTTATGTTCGGTTCTTTCGAGTCTGTTTTGTTTTTTCCGGTTCGTCCCTGGGAACAGGGTTTAAAAAAGAGTTAGTTAATTTCTTGCCGACCCTGGACCTTAGTCGGGTGGAGATTTCAACTTGTCAGGGCATTTTCGATCCTGTACTTAATACTTTCCAGTGGTAGTAGGTTCTTCCTTCCACCGCGACTCTTGGTAATTCCGGGTGCCCAGAATTGTCGCGCAATGCCCGAGTACACGGACTATCCGAATTGTCGAGTAGTCGGATAACAATGGGGGAACGCGCAGCTCGATTGCCCGATCGCCCACCTGTTGCTCGGCCGCGAATCCTCTTATCATTTCTCCCTGATATGTCTGTATCTCCATATCCATCGGCTAATCGAACTATCCACTACTCGAGCTCCGAGTACTCGGTACTCGAGCGTTGCTCGCAACAATTCTGGGAGTTCTCTCTGCCGTCTCTAACGAGACGCGAGAAGAAAGTCTTGCCGTTTATGTGCTACGTCTAAGTTAAAGGGAGGAGAAATAGAAAACGGGGAGAGGAGGGAAAAAAAAAAGAAGTTTTAATTAAATGATCAACCGCGTCACGAAACTTTCCCCAAAGAACAAGTGACAAGCCTTTCTTTGTACGATAACTACCCATTGTAAATAAAAGAGAAATATACGTGTACGTTGCTGCATGTGCCTTCGTCTTGTCTTGTGCCGCCTTTTTCCCCGCGTGTCTCGTGGCGCTTCTGCCGAGAGAGAGAGAAAGAGAGAGAGAAAGAGAGATGAATGGAGCATTAAAATGATAGAGAAAGAGAGATGATGAAAGGTTCAAACCGATCGACCCTGCTCGACTCGATCGGCGGAGTGTGCAAGGCTGTGTTTCTCTAATCGGTGGGTTGATTGCTGTGTTTCCAGATTTACGTTTAACCAGCGGTGTTACACGTGTAGAGCCGGCGAGCCGAGCCTCGTGGTGTCACCTCTTTCCGATTAAAAAGTCTCTAGGCTAAACCCGAGCGATTTCTGGACCCAGGGCCCGGACATAGAGAGAACGCGAGGAACCCTCGAATTTCCGACGACCCTCGGGAATTCGATGACGAGCTCGATAAAGAATTCGAGAGATATCTATCCTAACGAAGCGTAACGCCCGACGACCTGGCTCTCGTCCTCGTCTCTCCCGCGTGTCTGCGCGTGTGTCTGTCTCTTGTCTCTGCTCTCTTCTATCCTAAGTATCCATATTTCTTTTTGTTTTTTGTCTCCCCCCCCTCTCAATTCTTGCCTATCTTTTAATTTCTCCTCCTTGTTTTCTCGACGTGTTATAACCACCTAGAGAAGGAGCGTCGATTTCTCACCGCTCAGTTGGTTGGTTTGTGAATCCTAGAGTCCCGTAGAACAGTCTCGGTCTGTAGACGAAAAGAAAGGGAATGCCGAGCGCGGGAGCTTCTTAGGCGATGGGATCTCTTTTGGTTTAGGTGAGTAAAGAGATGACTCTCACCCCTTTTGCTAATTCACGGTTCACCTCCATCAACCCCCTATAGGGAGAAGAATTATCCTGTTTCCTTTTTTTGTATTTTATTTCTTTTTTAATTTTTTTTACCTATTTCGAGTCAGGGAAAGCGCGGAGGAAACGAATAGGAAGAACCTCGTGGAAAAGTTAAGCCATGTTGGGAATAGTTCATTTCGTCGGGCGGAAATTTGTTCCACGGTGGAAAGTCGTCCAATTGATCGAAGCGACTGGATAGATTGTTAAAGGGATATCTATGAAGTGTGGCGAAAAACGTTTTGCGTTAGTGCATGCATTATGTGTGTCGGTGCTGGCATGATTGGTATAAAAGAAATAAGCTCGTGTTGGGTTTTCTCGGGGCAATCCGCCCAAAAATTCGCCTTCGACTCGCCGAAGTGGATTCGCCTCTGTTCACGTTTAATTTTGTTATATCCGTCCTTTCCGCCCCCCACCCCTCCCCCTCGCTACGCCGAGATATATTATTGTTTCGCTTTATTCGATTTTATTCTCCCGCACATTTGCTGTCGCTGCTGAGAATTAATTTTCGAAATTGTCGAGGCTAACTTTCCTGCGGAACGGATCGTCGCTTTTCTGATAGCTCGATGGCTACAAAGTAGGAGAGAACTATAGTTTGTCACTTCGAGACAGCCTGAGGTTATTGATATCGAATAGTTGAGGATTATCGAGTCTGGCGGAATTTCACGCTGTCTCGGATTATTGTGCAGCACGTATACGCATAATAGTGTTGTAACACCAGTTCTGGTACTGTAGAAAGAAATGCAGAAATTTTTCTTTTTCTTTTTCTCTCTTTTTTTTTTTTGGGAAAAAGTATTTGCAGGATTCACCCGCTCTGTCGGTCTTTTCACCGCAAGGTATTCGAGTGGATTCTTTATATCTCTTACACACATTAAATCTGCATACGATTCTCAACATAGACACAAATATAGTACATGTACGCGCCCACGCAATTCATTATGTTTTCTAGCAATTAGATCGATCGCTAGTTTAAGGGAATCCTCTTTTTAGTAGATAGAACTGTAGGTCTTAATCATTTCTTACTTTTGTCACGAGTAGCAGAGTAGTACGATTTCCCTCACGAGCAAGGTTTTTATTTTCAATTTGCTCCATCACCGCTCAATGTCGATGAATAATCGAATTCCATGTATTTCCGATAATCGTACATTGGTACATTGAAAATAGAACGGATTATCGATTATTCAAAGCGACAACCAAAATTCGCAGTCATTCACCGTTTTGGGTTTCTTGCTTGCATCAAGACGGACGGTGGCGAAACTACGTATATAAGATTCTCTGTACCATTTCTCAAAATGCTGTCCCTGTGCACGGAAGTTACCAAAAATCTTACAGTGGCTCAAAAAAAAAAAAAAAGAATCATAGCACGCGTTGCACCCTGAACCTAATTCAAGCATCCTAAAAAAAAAAAGATGAGAAAAAGTCCAATCTTGCAGATCCTGTCGAAAACGAAATACACAGACTCATTGAATTTCCCCTTTAAAAATATTTGTTTCACTTCCGTTCCCATCGCGTACATTTAATATCCACATTTCTAGTTTCGCCACCGAGTCCCGATCCGTCCTGCCGCTCGGTGGAAAGGAATCAAGCGATGCGTCTTTGACCCTTTTCCAGGAATCTATGACAACGGCGGCGTTGACGACCACGTCTAGGTCGACGAGGTCCTCCAGCCCGGATAAGGAGAGGTCATCCTTCGGAAGCGAGTACCGGGAGTCGGCGAGGTCGGCGCCCGACGTGTCCTCGGACGAAGTGGGGTCAGTATTCGCGGACTCGCAGGCCGCGCAGCATCATCATCAGGCGCACCTGCAGCATCCTCATCATCAGAGAGAAGAGGACAGCGCGGAGGAGGGCGAGCGGGGGCCCTTCTCGGAGGGCTCGAAACGTGGAGGGGGTCGCCGGCAGCACTGGAAATCGCAGAGCCTGGGAGATACAGGTCAGCAAGGAGGTCGGCAGGGTCAGCAAGGTCAGTCGGGTCAGATGGATCAGGTTGGCCAGGTGGGCGCTACGTTGCAGACCGCCCAAGTGAGCTCGTCCCAGGAAGAGGACCCACTAGGCGAGCAGACGACCTTCTCAGCCAACCGTGAACTCTGGCAACGAAGAGCGACCTCTCAGACTCAGCCGAGTGCGCCGGTCCCGCCAACCCCGAAGACCTTCCGCAGCTCGCAGGAATTCCGGGAGATGCGGCAGAAGCACACCCCAGACCTGGTGATGGACCTTCCCCTGAGTGCGCAGGACTCCGGGAAGAAGTCGGCCTCGTCGAGCAGCCTGAGCAGCTCCGACGAGGAACTCGGCACCGCCCCTGCGGGCCCCGTGACCCCCGTGACTCCGGTGACCCCGGTGACCCCGGTCCTCGCCGTGCCGCCGTGTTCGGGGCGCACCGAGGCCGCGACCTCGCCGACCGGGGGACCGGAGTCGCCCGATATGAGCACCGCCGCCGAGAGGTTCGCCAAGCAGAACCAGTGCACCTTGAAGAAGAACACGAAGAGCGCGGCCGGCGCGGAGGGCGCGAAGTTGAAGAGGGTGGAGACCGCCGACCAGGTCGAGGCCGACGTGGACTCGGAGCCTGCGGGGGAGATCGTCAGGTCGGCGAGCACGAACAGGATCTCCGACGTGGCCGCCGTGCCCTTGAGGTCGCCCCTTCCGCCCAGGTCCACGCCGAAGATCGCCGCCAAGTTCGCCGACATGCATCTCACTGGCGGTAGCCAGGTCTCTACGTTCAAGCCCCAGGTCAAGGTCAAGCCCACCATTCTGAGGAAGCCGGTACTGCCGGCGTTCCCGCACCCACACATGAGCCCCGAACTCGCCAGGAAGATCGAGAAGCAGGCGCAGAGTGCCGAACAGGCCAATTAGACGTCCAGAGGGATTGGACCGAGTCCTCGAAATGATCTTGAAGAGACCTCCGCCACTTCGCCGCCGAAGACCGCTTCGTGGCGATGGAGACTTTTATATTCGGTGCCGAAAGGCGTGAGCAAGATTTAGGAGGACTTCGATTCGAGTCGAACCCTCGGGAGGTTTGACTTCCTGAAGATGTTCCAAGTTGAAGACTCCGAAATCTCGCTCACCCCTGAGTAGGGTAAGGAGTGCGATGGTTGTGCGTGGCGAACGGGCGGTTTTCAGTTATTGGCACGCGTCTAGGTATTTCCGACTCATGTACCCAGCTCGTACAGTGCCAAGTGCAACAGCGTCAACGGCTGCATCGTTTTCTTACCCTAGTCGTAATCTCAGCTGGTCCCCCTCCGTCGCGAATTGCGGAATCGCGGCCCTAATGGGACGGTTGCGTAACAGCGACATTCGCGCGAATCGCCTTCGACGGAATCGAGTAGTTTCAACTCGACCGAGATTCGATCAACTCCGAGCTTAATTCCTCTATGTAACGATTAACGATTGTCCAGTACTAGGTATCGATAATGCTATTTAAGAGACGTCTTATCCTAGAGCTGTGCAATCTCATTGAGCCCTGCTGCGACCTAGGATTAAGGGGACGTGGAAGTGGCGTCAAAGAGGTCTCGTTTATGAAACTTTTCTCCGAACTGAGGTTACCGAATCGTTTCAAACCTCATAACATGAATATGGAGGCTGGAAGGAAGGCCCCGACGCCCATGAAATTTCAATGTTTTAAAAATTTGTTTATAGACATTTAAAAAAGTCCTTGATAAGAAGTGCAATTTTATGAGCGTAAGGACCTTTCTTATAATCTCCAAATTCACGGTGAAAAGTTTGAAATCATTCGATGGACCCAGTTCAGAGAAAAGTGTTAGATGAACTCTTAAATGCCACTTTCGCGTCCCCTTAAAAGTTGAGTACTCGCGCGGACGAGCGTTGCATCGAGACGCCCCTGGTCGAATTCTTTCAATCGATTGTACCCCGTTATCGACGTCGCGAATATGAATAGTATCCACGCGGGCGGAAATTTCTCGGCTATGAGGAAAGAGTCTAATTTCGCCGTGATGTATATTAACGCGCGTCGCTTCTTGCGGGGCGTCTCGACGTTAAGCGCGTTTCAACGCTCATTTTTTTTACGCTTGTCCGTAAATCGCGAGACGCACAACCACCGCGATAAATCCCGTCGACCAATCGCTCCGCCCATTGGAAGAAGTTCGTAATAGTCGTATACCCGCGGAGAGAAGATGATAATGTCGCCGGTGGTGGCGACCGGTGGCGGTCCCGCGATCGGCGAGGGAGTTTATTTTTTCTATGGATACCCTTCCATTTTCGCCTTATTTTTTTACCAAATGACCCACGAAACGATGTTTCTAGTCATCCAACGAGGACAAGGGTGCGGGGGTAGGTTTAAATAAGGGGTCAGGAGCTAAGCGCCCTCGACAAAGCCGAGCGCATCGAAGCGTCCCCGAGAGGACTTGCAGGGCGCATAGATGATCCGAACGAAATCGACGCGGCGGCGAGTACTTATCCGAGGACGTTCGAAAACGAGCTGTTCAAAATTACCCCCTACCTCTTACGAGAGGACGAGCAGGTTCCCGAAGGTTTTCGAATAAAATCGGAGGGGGTGCGGGGGGAACTTTTAAGTGAGGATTTTATTCGGCCTCGGATGGTATCGGCCGTGCGATTTATTTTTCACCTCGCGTAAGTCTGGACGTTGTTTAGGGACGTACCCTTGCACGTAGTTAACGCTCGTTAGAACTCGGTAGCGGAGGTCGGTGCAGGCGACGCGTTCGATGTTCCTTTCAGGAGTTCGAGTCGCGCGAGTCCTATATGGCTCGCGGGGGAGGGAGTTGGTTTTATTTCCTTTTTAATTCGTAAACGAGTAGAAGCGTGCGAGGCGAGAGAAAGCGCGAGAAGGCCGGAGGCGTCGAGGAAGAGAGAGAGAGAGAAAGAGAAAGAGAGAGAAAGAGAGAGAGAAAGAGAGAGAAAGAGAGAAAGAGAGGTAGAGCCGCGAAGGCCGTTCTCGCTCGCTTCGGATGCGAACCAGGCGTACCACCTGGGGAGGTACTAATATACGACAGAGCGACGTTCGATATATTCAAACAAAGTGGTACTTCGTATGTACAATAACGTATTTAACGGTTGATATCGGTAGCTAGGCGGACGTATATACGCGCATATATACGTGCTAATTTCCAAAGTCGAGGCCAGCGACGAGCACCGCGATCTATCTCGGTGTAATATCATGCCTTTTCCCCTGTAATCCGCTACGACGAGGATGTATACCGGAAAGAAGGTGGTGGAGGCCTCGGCGAGGTCTTCCAAGATGGCGCCGAGGAGTCCCGCGTCGGCCATCTTGAATCCGTGAGTAGATGATTCCGCGATTCTTGAATAATATATAGTAATCTATACCAACGCTCTTCCAGGTATTGGGTTGAAGCATAGGAGGCATAAAGAGGGTTTTCTTTTTTTAACGAGACTACCGACAAAAAACAACGCGCACTTATACTTCGATCCAATATTACGTACTTATATTTTGCAATCCCCGATTTTTCGCGACGAGTTCAATTCACAGGTGTGGCGCGGATTTTGTGGAGCCGTTTTTTCATAACTCGTCGACTCTCTTCCATGTTCTGTCCGACGGTATCGCTGTCCTCGTTATTTAAACCGCAATCGATGTATACGCTCGTATACGGTGCGAAACCGGCGAATTCCCCGCGACGCGCGATTCGCGCCGTTATTTATGAGTCTTGCGTCCGTTCTTCTTAGACAAAATGGCGAACGTCGACGCGTCGCGTGGGGGCGAGCTTTCGCGGAGGTGCGTAACTTTAAGTACCGGACGTGCGTCCATCGTTATACGACGCGAGACGACGGTACGTATCGTGTATCGACTCACTCTACAGTGCAAGGTAGAGCCATCCACCTGTCGCTACGATAAATCCATAATACTCCTAGCTTAAAGTACTATTATCGAGTAAACACGGTAACGAGCCAACGTTATAACGAGCACTCGCTATAGCCCACCGCAATAAGAGATATACCAAAGCTGTCGGCAACCCTCCTTCCGATTGTAAAGTATTTTTCATCGCGACAACTGATTTGCAGTTTTAACGCTCCGGGCCCCACCGCGCGATGCCCTCTTCGGAATTCGAGCCAAACCTGATGGCGATTTGCAAAGCGTATGTACAAAACGCCGCTCGGAGTTGAAGCTCGGCTTTGGCTCCGGTTCTAGGGAACGCGCAGAGGCCCTTCGTTGGTTAGACTCGTTTACGCGGGTTAGTTCGTCTCTCTGTCTCCGTCTAACTCCATCCCTATCTCTCTGTACGATAGTTTTCTACCTAAGATACGCTGAACTATTGGTTTTAATCGAGGTTACTTGTAATTTAACGCAGTTACTACCTTTGTCGGTAATTTTATGAGAGAGCGAGGAAGCCTAATCTACGGATACTCTTATTAAGGCTAACGATGTTATCGATAACAATAAACGAACGTACAGGCTGTATGATTATTCGAATAAAACTTACGTGTGATTCGTCCATCGATCTCAGAGATAAGTTGGGAGATTGCTCACGGGCAGGATCGCGCGATCGCGTCCTGTGCGACCCCCGGTGGAGGATGCGGGCGGCTAACGCACTTGCCACCTGTTACCACTCACTGGCAGCGCAATTCATTTCTGGCGGGGGCTGGCGCAATTACGATGGCGGTACAATTTAACAGTCGCCGCTAGCGGCTCACGGACTCGCGATGGATATAACATGTGGCAGTTGACGCAGCAAGAGGTAGACGACGTCTAAAACCATACAAAATAGTGTAAAATCGACCAAAAATGTTTAACACATTGACTGCCGCTTCACCCATATTCGGATGACATAGCAGTCAAATAAAATGCGCGTGGCAGTCGACGTGTTAAAACTGCTTAAAACCGTTTAAAGTTGCTTAAAGGAACTCAAAAACCCCTAAAAATGATTAAAAACGCTAGAAACGCCTAGAAATGTCTAGAAACGCCTAAAAACACCAAAAACGCCTAAAAACACGAATCTCCTCTGAAAAAAATCGCAGCCACTTGCTCAAGAAATCAATATGTAAAGAACAACCTTTCCCGTCGAGTTACTGTGGTCACGGGTGCGAAAAAAATTCACCGGGGGCTGAGCAGCCCGAAAACTGGCTGAAAAAGTCATGCCCTCACAAAAGCTTCAGACTCTGTATCTCATCTGAAAAAAATCACAGCCACGAGATCGATAGATCTGTTTGAAAAGAAGGAGCTTCTCCCTCGACATGCAGTGATAGCAGGTGCGAAAATAATTCACTGGGGGGCGGGGCATCCCGAAAACGGGCTCAAAGAGTCATGGACCCTTCAAAAAAGTTTCAAACCCTGTGTCTGCCATCGTGATTGCGCGAACCCCCACCAGAAATGTGTTTCGCCGCCATTGAGGGGTAACCACTGGCAAGTGCGTTAGTTGTCCGCATCCTTCGTCGGGGACCAGCACAGGCCGTGATCGCGCGATCCTGCCTGTGAGCAATCTCCCAACTCTGTTCATAGATATGTATACATATATTCCAACAAAAGCTGGCTCCGATCAGAGATGAGTTGGGAGATTGCTCACGGGCAGGGTCGTGCGATCAATCCTGTGCTGCCCTCTGGTTTCGTACGTTAGTTTTCACCGTTTTTTGCTCCCAAGGGCGGCGCAACGAATTTCTGATAGGACCCGCGCACTCGCGATGGCGGTACCATCTATCAGTCGCCGTTGGCGGCTCACGTATTCGTGATGGTAATACCATGCGGCAGTTGACGGTGGTGACTTACCTACGCTTACCTACACTGCTCGCATTTGATGGTAATGGAAGAACACTCGTGACGCTCCATTTGACTTTATCTACTTATCTACTACTATTAAGTACATTGTTACATGGAAGCCGACGTGATGCGGAGCTTTGGGGCATGCGTCGGTATCGCGTACGGAACTCTCGTGCAGCGAATCTGTGTGAGTGCGATAGCTCCTAAAAATCTTCGCGCGTCCCAACCAGTCAAGCGCCAAGCTACGGGTCGAGACGTTGAGTATGTGTGCATTCGGCGCTATACTCGACAAGTATGCGTGAGACTCGAAAACTGCGAAAAATCCTCCCGAGGCTTACCTAACTGCGGATGTAAGCCGAGTCATTTCGAGTATGATTTTTTTACATTTCCCTACTAGCGTTATCGAGCGTTTTTCGAACGGTTTCAAGAGTTTTCGAGCGTTATCGAGCGTTTGTCAAGCGTTTTTGAGCGTTATCGATCGTTTTTCGGTCATTTTCAGAGCATTTTCGAGCGTTGTCGAGCGTTACCGATCGTTTTCGCGCGTTTTTCAAGTGTTTTCGAGACTTATCGAAGGCCGTACAGTGCGGTTGCGTGTTGTTAAGTGCAGTAGAGTGCCGGAGAGTGCCGGACAGTTGCCGCAGAGGGCCGGAGAGTGCCGGAGACTAACGGAGAGTTGCCGCAGAGTGCTGGAGAATGCCGGAGAGTTGCTGGAGAGTGCCGGAGAGTGACGGAGAGTGCCGAAAAGTGCCGGAAAGTGCCGGAGAGTACCGGAGAGTACCGGAGAGTTGCCGCATAGTGTCGGAGATTGCCGGAGAATGCCGCAGAGTGCCGCAGAGTGCCGCAGAGTGCCGGAGAGAGCCGGAGAGTGCCGGAGAGTTGCCACAGAGGGCCGGCGAGTGCCGGAGAGTGCCGGAGAGTTCCCGCAGAGTGCCGGGGAGTTGCTGGAAAGTGCTGGAGAGTGCCGGAGAGTGCCGGAGAGTACCGAAGAGTTACCGGAGAGCGGCGGAAAGTGCCGGAGAGTGCTGGAGAGTTGCCGCAGAGTGCCGGAGAGTACCGGAGAGTTGCCGGAGTGTTGCCGGAGAGTCCCGGAGAGTGCCGGAGAGATGCCGCAGAGTGCCGCAGAGTGCCGGTGAAGGCCGGAGAGTGCCGGAAAGTTGCCGGAGAATGCTGGAGAGTGCCGGAGAGTGCCGGAGAGTGCCGGAGAGTACCGGAGAGTTGCCGGAGAGTGCCGGAGAGTGCCGGAGAGTTGCCGCAGAGTGCCGGAGAGTGCCGGAGAGTGCCGCAGAGTGCCGCAGAGTGCTGGAGAGTGCCGGAGAGTGCCGGAGAGTTGCCGCAGAGTGCAGAATAGTGCCGGAGAGTCCCGGAGAGTGTCGGAGAGTTGCCGCAGAGTGGCGGAGAGTGCCGGAGAGTGCCGGAGAGTGCCGGAGAGTGCCGGA